TAATCCGACCAGGTGGACCCGCACAGGTGGCCCCGGGTCGCGGCGAGAGGTGATCCGAGAGGCTGCAACGGGGCAGCTCGCCGCGAACCGGGACGGCGGTCTCCAGTGCCGTACCTGTCGCCGGGGGATCCGCCTCCTCGTCAGCCTCTTTCTCAGCTGCTGACCCGACTGCCGCGGCGGGGAGCGGGTCCATAGCGCGGCCAGTCATGTGAGCCCGCACGCCCACGTGACTTCCTCCTGCGCCTGCCGGCCACGCCCATGACCACCCAGACCACGCCCGTTCACCGACTGTCACGCCCACATCCCGCCTTTTTACTGCCTCCCTGCTCCCACACGAGAGGGGCCACACCCCTTGCCCTCTCACTCCACCCACAGCCAGCCCAGGCCCGGCTTCGTCACGCCCACACTCCATTTAGCCCCGCCCACTCCCCGCCTCCAGGCCTGTCCCAGCCACGTGGCCGGGCGGCCGGCGCTCCTAAGCCGGAGTCCGCACCCCTAGCTCTGGCTCGCTGCCAGTCCCCGGCGGCCGCTCGCCCATTCCCACCTGCACTCGCTCAGCTATCCAATCAGTCGCTCGCTGGCTGCCCGTCCCCCTCGCCGGCTCCTGCTCTCGCTTACCCGCTCTGCCCCACCCTCAGCGCTCACTCACCCACTCTGGGCCTTCTGCTTTCATTCGTCCCGACACTCACGGTCGCTCACCGCCCTCTCCAGCGCAGGCAAGTCCGCTGGAGGTGGCCAGTCCCGGTGCTGGGTTCGAGGACTCACAGACGCTCTGGAACTGTTCCCGGCCTGCCCACCTGAGAACTAGTCTCTGGTGTCCAACATTCCCAAAGGGAAGCTGCAGGTCTGGGCGGGGCAGGTGCCTGAGCGGCCGCTGGATGAATAAGGACTGAACAGGAGCAAGTGCAGGGTGTCAGACAACTGCAAATGCCCTGATCTTCCCAGGACGCACAGTACAGGCAACGAAAGCCTGGAGAGATCGGTAGGGCTCCTTCAAAGGGAAGATTTTTTTATTTGTTTTGTTTTTTGAGACAGGGTCTCTCTAGTTTAGGGTGGCCTTGAACTCACAATGTAAACCAGGCTGGCATCCTGCCTCAGCCTTCCAAGTGCAGGGATCACAGGCTTCTGCCACCACGCCTGGCTTCCAAAGGGAGGATCTTGCACTTGCGACACAGGCCCAGCTGTGTCTGGGGAGGTGGTTAACTGAAAGGCCGGACAAGGCCAGGGTCCTAGGAAGAGTCTCAGCTTTCCCATTAGTTCTTGTTATAGTAGCTGGCCCTTATTTTACCTTATTATATTGCTGGTATTATAATAACTCATTTTTTTTCCTTTACATTCTAGAATATCTGCTATACAAAACAAGCTCAAATGTTTGAGTAGAATTACTTTTTTTTTTTTTTTTTTTTTTTTTTTTTTTTTTTTTTTTTGTACCAGGGATTGAACTCGGGTCCTTGCACTTGCAAGGCAGGCCACTGAACCGCTGAGCTAAATCCCCAGCCCTAGAATTACTTTTTCAATCATAAGTTTTCTTAAGTATCACATTTTGGTTTGATAGCAAACTGTATTTAGCAGCATAAATATATTTTAATTTTGACCTGTTGATCTTTAGTGCTCTCTCCACACTTTGTAGACCTCCCTGTCCCAGCTCCCCAAGACACCCACCATTCCGGCAGGTAGGTAGCACTGCTTTCTGCAGACGGACTCAGAACAGCTTTTTCAAGTCACAGTGACCACTGCAGGATCCTGTGACCCTCCATCCGCCTCTGATGGCCACTTCCTTCCGCCACCCTGGGCTTCCTTTCAGCTGTTGTTACCAAATTTTGTACTCAGCACTTTCCCTGATTCCACCCCCCTGCATATATAATCTGCTGAGTTCCTGCTATTATTTGGTACATATTTCTGTCTCCCACTAGATTACAAAAAAACAAAAACAAAACTTTTTTAAACCAGGCATGGTGGAGCAAGCTTATAAACCTAGCACTTGGGAGGCTGAGGCAGAAGTATCACCATGAGTTAGTTTGAGGCCAGCCTGAGCTACATAGTGAGTTCAAGGCCCACCTGAACTATATATATAGAAAGACCCTGACTCAAAAAGAACCTAAAAATAATTTTTATTTAAGTTCGTCAGATGTGGTGGTATATGCCTGTAATCCCAGCACTTGGGAGGCTCAGGCAAGAGGGTCACCACTAGTTCAAGGCCAGCCTGCACTACATAAAAAGACCCTAGGGCCAGGGATTTAGCTCAGTGGTTCTGCCACCTGCTTCACAGGCACAAGGACCTGAGTTTGATCCCTGTACCAAAAATAAATAAATAAAAAGACCCTATCTCACACACACACACACACACACACACACACACACCTTTATCTCACTCTGAAGACTCAAATTTTTTTACAAATATACAATTATACATTTTCTAATAGCTTTTTAATAGTTTATTGTTAATTAGTTAACCCCCTTAAATATGTCAGATAGTAAGTGGTTCTGGATCTTGGTTGCCTTTAGTGATCACCTGGGGAATATTCAGAAATCGCCTGGCTGGATCTAGCCCATTGGGTTCCACCCATCACAAGCCATTGTCAGCTTCCCCTTATACACATACAAGTGAAAGGAAAAAATAACTAAAAACCCTAAAGGGACACTTTGTCTACTCACAAGATCTTTCCATCAATTAAGTCCATCAAATGCAATAATACAGGGATGTGGCTGGTGGTAGAGCACTTACTTAGCATATGTGAGCTTCTGAGTTTGATCCCCAATAAAAAAAAACGTGCGCTCCTGCTTTCGCATTGCTGGAGTTTCACTGGGCAGGCTATGTTGTGGCCAAGATTTCAGTGTTTTGTTTTGTTTTGTTTTAATTCCCAGATGATTCAGCCCAAGCAGGAGACCACTGCTGTAAGTTGGTCACTTTGTTTTATTCCCAGAAACATTTCCGGAGATTTACTAGTGAATCACATTTTGAATGATTGGTAGGAGAGGAAGGTGAGGAAGGCAAACAGGGATGAGCAGACCACATCTCTGGCCCCTCAATGGAGGTGGTAGAGGAGCAGAACACAACAGGTTCTCACTCTACCCAGGGGTAGGGGCTGTGGAAGGAAAGAAGCAGCAGTTGGTTCTTATGCTGGTGTGCCTGTGCCTGTGTGTGTGTGTGTGTGTGTGTGTGTGTGTGTGTCTGTCTGTCTGTCTGTCTGTCTGTGTGTCAGTGGTACAGGGGATTGGCCACCCAAATCTTTTACAAAGAGCTACATACCCAACCCTTTTGTACTTTTGAGACAAGGTCTCACTGAATCACTGAGCTCAACTTGTGCCCTCCTGCCTCAGCCTCCCCAAGATCTGGGATTACAGGTGTGCACCGTCTTTCCCCATTGGATTTCATTCCAAATGCCTTCATGGAAGTCCTTCAAAGAAGGGGCTCAGCTGCCAGACAACTCTAACAACAGAAAGTTTTCAGCAGATATGCCTTGAGATAGGTCTGCCATCTGTAGAGCCTCACCAAAGAATAAACTGTTTCATTCAGGGAAGCATTTAAAAAATTTTTTTTGTTCAGTAGCAAGAACCCACTCATTTGATCCTTTGGTTCATGAGTGTGGTAACTGGACGTTCATGTCACATGCCAGAGATGTGCCTCCCTCAAACTTAGTTATGACATCAGCACGTTGCCCAGCTGATGTGGAAAAATAAAGAAGAACCCACGTATATTATGACTGTTCCTGTGGCTTTTGAGTCACATTAACGCTTTCCACTTAGGAAAATGGAACTGACAGGCAGGACTTGGAAAGCAGCACACTGATGTCAGGATTGGTATCTCCCAGATGACTTGAAGGAAGGGCTGTTGTTAGGTATCGTTCTCCTTGCAGGCAAAGTTTCAAGTCCTGCCAAGTACCTTCCAAAGAAAGAGTTCCTCCCAAAAACATCAAGAGTCACGAAGAGGCATTGAGGAGCACTATGGTTTAAATCTAAAATGTCCCCAGAAGTTTCCCCTGTTCCAAGGTCACCTTTCTGAAGGTGACTGGATCACAGTGTCTCTGGTATCGTTGGTTTAATCCACCCACGCCATAATTTGATGGAATTGTTGGGAACAGATGGAAGCTCAGCAGGAGCTTGGGCTGTATCTTATCCCTGGCCCTTTCCTCTCTGGCTCTTTCCCAGAGCTCTGCTCCCTGGCAGCCAGCAGCTTTCCTCCTCCACATCACCCTTCCACCATGAGCCTCTGCCTTGCCAGATCCTGGAACAATGGAGCTGCTGGCCATGAATTGAAACCTGTGAAACCATGAGCCAAAACAAACCCCTCCTCCTTTAAGCTGATTGCCTCGGGTGTTTTGGTCACAGCAATGAAACACCGACTGACAGGAGCATGTCCTAGGTCACAGTGATGGCAAACCGTTTAGAGCTCTCAGTGGTACAGACAGCATGCGGGCCATAGGTTGGCTACCACCACGACTTTGGACTATTAACTATAGCTAGGATGTTGGTCAGGTCAGGCTGTCTCCTGCCACACACCTCAGCAGCCTGAGACAGAACAGGGATTCATGCTCACTGTGGTCACTCAGACCCAGGATAATGAAGCAGCCGCCTGCTCAGGTTTCTGACATTTTGACGAAAGAAAACCTTGGGGTAAGAGGTCCTGGGTGAACAACTCTGGCCCAGACGTGAAGGATAAAATGAAACATCCACTCACAACCCTCAGGCCACACTCGTGACACCGCCACACCCAACCTGAAGAGGACCAGAAGGGCCATCCTGCCCCACATGTGGAAGACAGAAAGCCAAGACTGTGTCACAAGCACCACCAGCTACTGACGACACTAGCCAAACTCACAGTTACTGAGTGCTGCCATGCAGTGTTCTTCTGAGTGCTTTGCCTCTAGAAATTCATCTAAGCCCAATAAATGGATAAAGTAGTAGAGTAATTATCACCATTTTATAGACTAACAAGGCCAGAGAAGTTCAATGGCATAAATCACAGGGCAGAATTCAAGCCCAACCTCCTGGGTGCTGGAGCCTGTCCTCAGTGCCCACCCACCCTCCCTTTAGGAGGCTTGATGTGAAAGCTGCTTGTAGCTCTGTAAGGCAGTGAAGGTAGAGGACTCTAAAGGCAGAGGATTCATAAGATGAGAAGGCCCTAAAATTTATCAAACATTTCCTACGTGACGGCCACTAGGCCAAGTGTTAAACAACAACGTCGATCATCTCATTTAATAATGAAATTGCATAGGTGTGTGCGTGTCTGTGCGAGTGTGTGTGTTACTCTGAGGGCAACTGGGTGTGTTTGTTGAGGGGGTATTGGCAACTGAGCCTGGGGCCTCACCCATGCTAAACACTAGCTCTGCCACTGAGCTACACACCCAGTTCCTGGGTAGTAAAGGGTACAAAGTGCGGGACAAGGTGGCACTTGCTTGTAATCTAGCAACTGGGAGCCTGAAGAGGAAGACTGCTGTGAGTTTGAGGCTAGCATATACTGCAGGATGAGGGCAAGGCCAGCCTTAAAAAAAGTGGGGGATACAAAGTGCAAGGTGTGGTAGCATATACTTGTAAATCTTGAGGCAAAAGGATCATAAATTTAAGCTCAGCCTGGACAATTTAGCATTTAGAGACTTAGCAAAATACTGTCTCAAAGTAAAAACAGTGCTAAGAGCCAAGCCTAATGGCATAAGTTATGTCCAGAATTCCAGAACATATGAAGCTGAGGCAGGAGAATCACAGTTTGAGGTTCGCCTGGGCTACAGAGTGAGTTCAAGGCCAGTCTAAACTACATAGGAAAGGAAGGAAGGAAGGGAGGGAGGGAGGGAGGGAGGCACAGAAGGGGAAGGAAGTGAAGGAAGAAGAATATAGTGCAAAGGTACTGGGTTTAACCCCCAGTATTGCAAATGAATACATAAATAAATAAATGACTGTGTAGTAGTTGCCTATTATAAAAGAATTCCTGGAGAATTTTGTTATGTGATGGAAATGTTCTGTTCTCCCTCCCTCTCTCTCTCTCTCTCTCTCTCTCTCTCTCTCTCTCTCTCTCTCTCTCTCTCTCTCTCTCTCTCCATACTGGCAATTGAACTCAGGGCCTTCCCACTGAGCTACAGTCCCAGCCCTTTTAATTTTTATTTTGAGACTGGACCTTGGCAAGTTGCTAAATTGCTGGGGCTGGGCTTGAATTTGTAATCCTCCTGCCTCAGCCTCCCAGAGTGCTGGGATTACAGGGGCATATACCACCATGCCTGATTTATTCTGTCTCTTGATAAGAACATTCTTAAACTGACATATACACTTGTAAAAATAATCTCTAGCACATAAAACCTGCGTGTTTTTTCTATATAATTTCTTTTTTTGGGGGGGTACAGGGCCTCACTATGTAGCCCAGGCTGGCCTCGAACTTGCAATGATCCTCCTGCCCCAGTCTCCCAAGTAGAGGGATTATAGGTGTGCACCACCATACCTGGCACCCTATGCAAACTGCACATCAATAAAAATCAGTAGCTTGCCAAGGACTTAGCTCAGTGGTTTCACTGCCTGCCTTGCAAGCACAAGGGCCTGAGTTCAATTGCCAGTAGAAAAAAAGAAAGAAAGAAAGAAAGAAATCAGTAGCTGCCTGTTATGATTGTGATCAAACTGTATTTCAGGATCAAGGTAATTCAGGAAGTGAGGTACAAAATAGTGGTATTGACTGGGAAGGAAGAAATATAATAATTGCTAATCTCAGGTAACAGTATCAACCCCAGAAAATATACAAGTCTTGTGTGTGTGTGTGTGTGTATGTGTGTGTGTGTGTATGTGTGTGTGTGTGTGTGTGTGTGTGTGTGTGTGTGTGATGATACTGGGAATTTAAACTAGGGCCTCAACACTAAGCTACATCCCCAGCCCTTTGGATATTTTGACACAGTGGCTCACTAAGTCCCTAAATTGCCAGAATGGGCTCCAACTTGCAATCCTCCTGCCTCAGTCTCCCAGACTGCTGGGATGACCAATGTGCACTGCTACAATCATATAAACTATCTTAAAGAGAATTCACCAGGATTTTTGGATTCAAGGCATGAAACAATAATCACTATTTTTTCATGTGTACCAGCAGTCATCAGTCAATAAAAAATCTCATTTATAATAATAACTAACAATATACAGGGATGAATCTAAGATGGTATACTTTTAAAGGAAAAAATGATAAAAATTTTATGGAAGACATAACTGTTAAAGAAAGGAAGAATTTGTTTATAGACAGGAAAATTTAATATGTTTAAAATGCCAATCATCCTCAAACTGATGTATAAATGTAATGTAATTTTAGTAAAGATAATTTCCTCAGGAAATTACAAAATGAATTTTAAATTCATATGGAAGAGTAAAGAATGAAGATTAGCCAAAGCAATTTTGAAGAAGAAAGATTAGAGGAATTTTCTCAACTTGATATCAAAAATTATTGCTATAATGTTTAAAACAGGCAGAATAGAAAATATATGAATAAGATAAATAAGAGCACATAGAAAAAAAATTTTTTCAAAAAGAACAATACAGTGGGGTACAGTGGCACACACCTGGAATCCCAGCTACACAGGACGATGAGACAGGAGGGTCCCAAGTTTTAGTCCACCTTGTGCAATTCATTGAGCCATCTCAAAAGACTGAAAAAAAGAAATGGGATGCAGCTCAGTGCTGGGGAGGAGTGGAGGCAGGGAAGGCCCAGTGTTTAATCCCCAGTACTGCAAAAAGAAAAAATTATTTTGTTGGGTAGAATTCTGACAATTTTCCTCTCTCTCTCTCTCTCTCTCTCTCTTAGATAGGCCTCACTGTGCAGTTCAAACTGGCCTTGAAGCCACTGTGTAGCCCAGGAATTGGCCTCAAATTTGCTGCAATCCTCCTGCCTCAGCCTCCGTGGTGGGGTCATAGGGGTGTGCTGCCACGCCCAGCCCCTTTCTCCATATATAAGACTTGATTGCTATCTTCCTGGCCTCCACTGTTGCTTTTGAGAAGTTGATACCAGCTGTCTAACTTGTTCTTTTCTTTTTGATTGGTTGCATTTTGAATTTTTGACTTTTTTTCAAATAGACTCTCAGTAATCCAGGATGTCACTTTCCTGTTGCTGGGACAAAATACTCAACAACTTGTTTCTTTAAAATGACTGCTTTTGGGGCTGGGGATTTGGCTCAGTGGTTCCGCCATCTGCCTCACAGGTGCAAGGACTCAAGTTCGATTCCTGGTACAAAAAAAAAAAAGATTGCTTTTGGAGCCTGGTGTGGTGGCACATGCTTGTAATCCCAGAACTTGCGAGGCTGAGGCAAAAGGATCTCCACAAGTTCAAAGTCTCAGAGTGAGTTCAAAGTCAGCCTATGAAGTGAGATCTTGTCTCCAAAAACAAAAACAAAAAACCCACCACCAACAAAACCCAAAACAAAAAAACAAAAAAAAGATAAAATGTTTGCCTTTCTTTGGTGCTCACCAGTTTCACTATGTTCTAAGTATCCATTTATATTTATTTTACCCTGTTTAGGATTTATTAATCTTACTGAGTTTCTGGCTTGTTGTCTGCAAAATTCTCAGCCAGTGGTTCTACAAACACTGACATACATTGCTTCATTCTTCTTCCTCCTCCCTCCTCCTCCCTCCTCCTCCTCTCTCCCTCCTCCTCCTCCTCCTCCTCTTCTTCTTCTTCTTTTTGAGATAGGGTCTTGCTGTGCAGCCCAGGCTGGCCTTGAACTCATGGTGATTCTCCTGCCTCAGCCTCCTAGGTTCTGGGATTTACAGGCCTGCACTACTACCCCAGTTTGCTTCATTCATTTTTCCTCCTTTTCTGGTAGCTTGTGAAATGAGGTATGCTTAGATGTTCTCACTTTATCATCCATATCCTGTTTCCTGTTTTATCACTAAGTCAGTGTACCATATCTACTCTCCTGCGGATGGTTGTGTGGGTGTATATGTTAGGAATGCTGCTGCTGGAAACCTTGCTGATTGCATTTCCTGGTGCTGATGTGGGTGCTTTGGCAGCAGTCTGCAAACAGTTGGGAAATTAACAGGTGAAATCTTTTCTAAAATCCACCTGCCTGAGAAAGTATCTGCAGTGGAAAAGCAGGCTCTGCTTGCCCACCTGTCCCCAGCACCTATCTTGTACTTAGGTAAGGAAACACATTGCTGTCACTTCTCTAAAGCCTGCTGGGGGACTGTCCCATCAAGGTCCCTAGCATAGGTACAAACTCCTCTGCCATCAAGTGTAGGGACAACCAGGATGGTGGTGTACACTATAATCCCAGCGCTCAGGAAACTGAGGCAGGATTGCCTCTGGGCTACATAGTGAGTTCAAGGCCAGCCTGAATTACATATTGAGACCCCATCTAAAAACAAAGCAAAACAAATAAACGACAGTAACAACAAAAGCCAGATGACCATGAATAAAAACCTCTACAAAGTGTGAGCAGAAATAAACCTTTCGGTCAGGCATGGTGATGCACACCTGTAATCCAGCACTCAGAAGGCTGAGGCAGGAAGATCGCTATGAGTTCAAGACCAGCCTGGGCTACATAGTGAGTTAAACTGGCTTAAAACTGGCTTCAGCCTCCTCAGTACTGGGAGCGTAGGTGTGTGTACCACACCTGGATGTATGACAAGCATTGGAACACAGGTGATTTCCAGTTCTTCACTCTCAAATTTAAGGTTAACTTCACCCAGGGCAGCAAATACCCTCAATGCTCTTCTTATTTTCCTAGAGTTTTAGTATATTTACTGTTATGCTGAGGATTGAACCCAGGGCCTTGAACATGCTAGGCAAACACTTTGCACTGAGCCACACTCCCAGCCCCAGCTCCATCCCATAGATTTTATTTTTTAAATTTTATTTATTTGTTTGTTTGTTTGTTTGTTTGTTTATTGGTACCAGGGATTGAACTCGGGTCCTTGCGCTTGCAAGGCAGGCCACCAAACCGCTGAGCTAAATCCCCGGCCCCATCCCATAGATTTTAGAGTAATGGTGCTTTATCATTTTGTCAGTGTCTCCTTGGTTTCAGTAAGACTCTCTATATTTTATCAATCATTTTATTTCTATTCTGCAGCAGATTTGGTCTAAATAATCCAACTGGCTATATTTTCAAACTCAGGGAAGTTACAGCATACAAGTAACGAAGAAAATGATAATTTAAAATGTTGATAATTTGATAATACATGACAAATGTAAGATAAGAGATCCCACAGACAATGTGATACAGTCCCACGCTGGAAGAATAT